CAGTGTGAGACTGATGTATTCAGAAATAGAATCTGTGAAATCTTTTCACAGTTGACACTGAAGATCTTTCAACATTGAAAGAATTAGAGAATAATTATCTCTGAAGAAACAGATAATGAATTGTCTGTAAGAGAAGACTTTTTCACAGAGTCTATAAGACACTGTGAATGAAGATCAGTGATCTTCTTCTTCAAGAAGTTATCACTCATGCAGAGAAGATATGATACTTATAATCAGAAGATATTAGTAATTATTGAATTCTTTAAGATCTGATAATATTATCTTCAGAATAGTAAGTACTCAGTGCAAGTTCTCACTGATTATATAAATCTATATTATTTCTTAATAATAAAGAGCTTGACAGAATGTTAAGTCAGATGAGTGAAGCTGCTTTCAGAGTATAATTTCTATATCTGATACTGTTCAGATCAGTTTAACTCTACTGATATACTGTTTAAACAGTCTGATTATAATATTATTAATGCAGAGAAGAATTCTACAAAAGAATCTCTGTCATCACTGTAGAAGAAGCTGATTACAGAGAATTAAGATTCTCTGAAGCTCAGAAACAGCACTGGTAAGACAGCTGTGTAACTCAGTATAGAAGGTGAAAGAAAACTCAGATTCTTACAGAAGACTAACACTGAAGATTATGAGCTTCTTGTATTATATCTTACAATTATTGAATTGATAAAGAATAAAACAGTCTATAATCTTTCAATCTGACTACTTTTGAAATTCATTGATAAGTTATAGAAGAGAGATATCTCTACTGCAGCTTAAATTCAGAAGTTGAAGAAGAAAGAATCTGATTTGAACTTAGAAGAGACAGACTCTGAGCAGAATAATACTACTAAGAAATCAAGTCACTGATAACTAGAAGAATGTAGATTTCTACTACTGAATAATTCAGTCTTTATCTCTTGTAGCAGAGCAGTGTGTCAGAAGTTATTAAGAATTCATTATAATAATTCTTATGTGAGACACTTCAGATTAGAGAAGACTGAGAAGCTTCTAAAATGTAAATATATTTAGAACAAGCTTTAGACAGATGTCAAAGAGTATATTAAGACTTATGATATCTATCAAAGAATAAAGATCTCATAGTATAAGTAATACAGTGAGTTGATGTTACTGTCTGTTTTAAAGAGCTTATGATAAAATCTATTAATGAATTTCATAGTTAATCTACTGAAGTTAACAAGAGTCAAAGAATATGACTTAATTTTAATCATTATTAATCACTTCATAAAGATGACTAGATATATTTCTACTTATAAAAAGATTAAAGTCTCTGAATTAACTGATCTATTTTTAGATATTATCATTTATAATCACAGTGCTCTGAAATTATTAATAACAGATTAAGAATCTCTCTTCATCAGTAAGTACTGATCAGCTTTTTATTATCATCTTATAATAAAATGTCTTCTCAGTACTGCATTTCATCTGCAGACAGATGATCAGACTGAATATTAAAATCAGACACTAAAATAGTATCTTTGAGTGTTCTGTTCATATTATCAGAATGATTGACTTAAATATCTTCTAACTATCAAATTTATATATAATAATATAAAGAATGTAATCTTAAAAGTATCTTCTTTCTATACTTATTATAAATATAATTCTTTGTTACTCAGTGATGTTGTGAACAATGTTTTAAAGAGAAGAATAGATAGTCAGAATATTAAATAGATACAGAGAATAGAGTATTTCTCAGTATCAGAAGTAAAAGTGAGATTGAAACTTTTGAATAAAATTTATAAGAAGATAGTGAAAAGTATTCATCACACTCAAAAGTAGTAGATAAAATACTATAATTGAAAACATCTTTCAATGAAGTTCTTGATAAAGAATTGAGTAGTACTTTCAGCAAAGAATATCAAGACAATGAGACTGTATAAGAACCTCAGTAAGTAATGACTAAAATCTTTCTCAGTAACAAGAGTGATGAATAAGCAGATATATGAGTTGAAATTACTTACAGAATTGAAATCAATTCATTCTATTTTTCACATTTTCTATTTAAAGCTCTATAAGTAATATCTCAGAATGAAGCTGTCTTGACTGAATGATATTAAGATTGAGAGTGATACTGAATATCTTGTGAAGAAAATATTGAATAAGTGAATATATTATAGTAAGCTTTAATATCTTATGAAATAAGAAGATTATTTATTATCAGAGAATTTATGAGAATCACTTAAGTATTTGAAAAATGCTGAGAAAGAGATTGTAAGCTATGAAATAGCTAGTAGAGATCACTCTGTTACACATCAGAGATATTGAATAAGAAATACTGCTTGAGATTTCTTATTTTTTCTCAAAGAGTTTTTTAGAGATAATCTTATAATAATAAGTCAGTGTCTTATAAGCTCTGTAGCACTCTTCTTCTATTTTCTCTCAAAGGATTTTTTAGAAGTTTAATAAGACTATACAAGTGTAAAATTCCTGAAGTAGTTAGAGAAAAAGAATATTTAAAACTAATAAGATTAATATTATTGATCTGCAGACTGCTGCTATTCTAATGAGACTGCAGCCTGCTGAAAAAGTAAAAAGAGAGAAATCTCAGAGTCTATTTATTAATAATCACACTCTTATCAAACTTATTCTTCACTGTTAAAGTCTTCAGCACTGATATCTTTGTCTGTTAAGAAGTTAGCACTGCAGTGCTGCAGAGAAACATGCTATAGAAGAGTATAAAAGATACTTAAAGTATTAACTTATTAATTTATAAAGTATCTCAGTTATCTGCTTTAATTAAAGTGAGATTCTCTTCAATCAATAATTAATCTCTGCAGTATTTTCAATAACAGTGCTGACTAAGTCTTTCTTAAGATCAGTTATTCTGAGATATTTTTTCATCTCAGAGATTCATACTTTTATCTTCTTTTACAGATAAGTAAGAAGAATCTTCTCAGTCTTGATACAATCTATCAATACTTAACACTCTGAGACTCTCACTCTGTACTGCTTGAGCATCTGAGCTTCTTATCAGAGCTGATATAACATCTTTCTGTGAGATAATACTTACAGAGAGACAGAAGTTATTGTTACAGATGCAATGAAAATAATAAGAATGAGAGAAGACATAGATGCATAAAATTCTTCTCTTCTTCAGCTACTTAGTACAGTACAGATAAGTAATAGTATTAGTCAGAGACTGTACTGAAGTCTTCTTACAGAGAGAAGATAAAGAAATCACAGAACTCTGCAGACTCAACTCAGCAGTATTCTAAGCAGAGCTCAGATATATCACAGAAGAGAAACTATAGATTAAGCTTCTCAGAGCTGCTATTCTCAGAATCAAGCTCTTCTCAGAATTCTCTCTGAATAATCACACAGAATCATATATTACTATGTTAATTAAAGAAAGAGACAGTATTGCAATAGTAATGAGAGAGACAGAGAACAGATCAGATGCAGATGAACTGACTAACAGAAGAAATAACATCTTACTGCAAGATGTGACTACTACTACTATAACTGCAAGAGATGCAGAAGAAGAAGAAGATGTAATAATAAGAGCAGTACTTCTGCAGCTCATTGACACTGTTATCTTTATCTTCAATCTGACTTTCTTAGCAGTTATGAAGGCCACAGCTGCATTATAAAGATGTTTATTACTTACTAGAAAATATCAGAATAAGCTCTTTATTATTCTTTAAGAATGATACTCTCATACACTCACTATTACAATTGAAGAGAGAGAAAGAAAAATATTTCACAGAGAGAGAAATCTTTTTGAAAAATTCTATTACTACTGTTAACTTTGTCTCTAAAATACACTACTTTTACAGAGAATTTTATATATAGAACAGAATATAATAAGAGATCTGTATATCACTTATTAACTATATTTTTCACATTTCAAATTGATATATAAGAAACTCACTTATCATATATTCAGTTTGAATAAAGATGAGAAAAGAAAGATCTATACAGTCAGTAGAAAAACTCATCTATTTCTTTATACAGTATATACACTATTAATCAGTTAGTAACTATTACTATATAATAAAGATAATTTCTAATTCAGTAATCTTGAGAATATCAGAACTATGTTCTTAAAGAGAAGAGTATTATTATATCTCTGATTATATTAAGACTCTACTACAGTTTCATACAACTTATTACTTTTATACAGATAATTTCATTTTATCTGAACTAGTTTTCAATCACTCTATAATATTATTCAGATATATTATAGAAAGATCTGATTAATGAATATAAGAATCTCACTTCTATATAAGATTAGCAGATTACTTTTTCTTAACAGTGAGACACTGCTGAGATATTACTTCAGCTATTCTTACTTATAAAATAAGAGAAGAGTATTCACTCATTATCTATATAGAATAACTAGATACTGACTTCTTATCAAAGAAGTCAGTGATTCATTTTTTCTTCTACTGAAATATATACAAGAGTTACTGTGTGTCTCATACAATCTTCTTAGTATACTAAGTACTATATCTGTGATATTCTCATAATAACTCTGTAGCCTACAAGCTTGCTATTTAAGCAAGATAGTGAAGCTCACTTATACAGCTTCTCAAACAACTATCTCTACATGACACCGCCGACTAGCCACCGCTTCGGTTCCGCCATGTTACAATAACCTCTTGAAGAATAACATTGTTATGTTGTGTGTGTGTAATCTATCTACACGGTTACACTAAATGAATAGGTTGGGGTCGCACGTGACTAGGGTAGCTGTAGTAATGTAGCATCCGCCCTAGTGGCGTTGCCGTAGCGACCGCTCCGCCTACACGTGATCTCATATGTAATATATATATAGCTAGCTCTTCCTACACGAATACAACGGATTAACCATCCCACAAGTAATCACCAACAGGTTGGGGTGGCACGTGACTAGGGTAGGTGTAGTATTCACCAACAGTAGGTGTAGTAATCACCAACACATGGTAACACTAGTATAAAATACTCAAAAATCCCCATTTGACTCAAATGTCAATATAGGCTGCCGTAGTAGCCGAGTATCAAACCCATGCATCTGGTGCCGGCCTTTCTGATAGCCGGAGAGCCAGTGGCAGCCATGCTGCAATATTAATATTTAAAAAGTTGAACAACTGCAACAACTTCGAAAAATCTTGCATGAAAGGAGATCACGTTATTGCCTCCTGCCTGCGCTAATTTACGTCCCTTGCCAACGGGTTTCCTTCTCACCCAAGTCGACGAGCGAGCTGAAATGGCACTCAGCAGGATCAGAGATGAAAATCTCTTTATCAGCGGGTAAAGTCATTTTTACCCCTCATTTTGACCCCTTCCGCTGGCCATATCCAAGCACCCACGGTTGTTTGGTTGGCTGGCCCCTTTTTTTTTCGCGACATCCCTCTTTCCATTATTTATTCGATGTGATTACTGACTAATTACTAGGATTATGAGCCTGAGCAATAAAAGTGCCCTCATGAAAGCAAATATCACACATATTGTTTCTGTACTTCGGTTAAATCCAGACGAGGAGCGCTTTGAGTCTTTTGAACATTTACAGATCCCTGTGGACGATGTCAGTGATGAAGACCTCTTTCGGCATTTCCCCACTACGAATGCCTTTATCAAATCTGGCCTGGATAGCGGTGGCGGGGTGCTGGTACATTGGTGAGCTAATTATCCATTGTCTGGGGCTGAAATGAACACGTCAAGGGGTCCTTGTCCCACAGCTGGGTTTAACCAAAATAACTGGTCCCTTCGCGAACACAGCCTATATTCCCGCTCTAAACAGATATATTTTATGTAACCTTCTAAACTTCATCACTATGCTTCCTATTTCAATCTGTTTCTTTTTATAGCCCTAAGAATAGGATCCATTGCTTTCCTGTCGCGAACAAATGTTACCTCGGCTAACATTAAAATCGTAACAGCGCGATGGGCAAATCCCGATCTGCAACTGTCTGTATTGCATTTCTGCTTCACCGGGACCCTGGTGCATTAACGCCCTGGGCGGCTCTTGAACTAATTCGTCAGTCAAGACCACTATGCGAACCAAATGGCGGGTTCCAAGAGCAATTGGAACTCTATCACAAAATGGGATGCCCAGACAATGTCACTGACCATCCCTTGTATAAACGCTGGGTATACGAGCGAGCGCTCGAAGAGAGTGTTGCATGTGGCCGTGCTCCTGAAATTGAGCTCGTTAGATTCGAGGATGAGTGCGCGGAGCCCTCAAATAAAACCGACGAATCTACGGAAATAAAGTGCCGCAAGTGCCGGTTAGACCTTCTTTGTCCCCGTTGATCCCCTCCTCTTGGAGATCCTATCTATGTTCTCTTCTATTCCTGTCCACTTAACGGAGGTTAGCTAACTAATGATTCCCACAGACGCAAATTGGCAACTCTTCCCTTCATAATCCCTCATACACCACAAACTGACAAGCGATTACCGCGAGGTCATACTATCCCCGAGGGACCGTGTGCTCATATATTCTTACATCCGCTAACGTGGATGCGGCCCTCTCTCTTCCCTGAACAAGACAGTTCGTCGCCAGCAGCCAACTCAGCTGATGAATACAAATATACTCCTGAGGCACCACTTTCCGGACGCCTCACGTGCCCTAATTCCGCCTGCGGCGCCAATATTGGAAAATTCGCATGGCAGGGCATGAAATGTAGCTGCGGAAACTGGGTTGTGCCTGCAATTGGCTTGGCGCGGGCGCGAGTAGATGTTGTGGACAGCGTTGTGCGGCGGGGGACGATTGACGCTTCAGCTGGAATCAGAGTACCGGCCAGGATTGGAGGGGTAGCAGGTGGGGGAGTAGGAGGAGGAGCATCAACCGCGGCTGATCCCGCCGGAGGCCGGGGCCTTCTATGAATATTTGTCATAATTTTCAAAATTTCAACAAGGAAGCACCAAACACTTCTTCTAAGGGGCGTGCGTTTAACAAGACAGGTTAGAAATGTTAAATGACAAGCGGAATACATTACCTACTGATACATCCCAATATGCCTAGCTTTGATGATCGGCTTGCGAATATCTTTACGATTGATACATCAACTGTCGGATATCTCCCAATGCCAACTTCTGATTTAACACAATTTTTTTTTTTCCAAATTGAATTTCAATCTCAATTTCAGTTTCTCTGCTTTACCTTATTTGTTTCTATGAGACAGATTACAGATCTAAGCTGTCTTACAATACTAGGACGTAAGCACTATCAGGATGGGCTTGGAAGGATCAGCTCCAAGGATCAGCCTTTCAAGGGATCTTCTGATCCGTGCTCGAGCGAAAAGCTAGGAAGCCTTTCATTGGCAGCGAACAATCTTTTGTTCCCTACGAAGGCCTATGACACCTGTGGGCCCTGGTACGGACTCCATAAAGGAACAAACAACGCCAAGAATTCTTATGCTGTACACCATCCCTGGTTTGCTGTCGCTTGATACATGTCTGAGCGAGACAAGCTTGGGCAGGCTGCGGGAAAAGATATTTCGCTGATGCCTCCAAAGGTCGAGCAAGAATCGCGTCAGTCATTTCAGGCACCGGTCATTGCAATGTGTAGCGAGTTACAGCAGTCATCCCGTTTCTGTTTTGTTGTATCTTGTCATAAGCCGTTTGAGAGATGCTCTCGAGTGATGATGTCTGGCGTCCGCTAAAGAACAACACTGATCCACTGCGCCTTGGTAGGCCTCAATATCGCAACAGCCATGATATCAGCACACCATTCAGCCCTATTTCGTTCCACCCAGCTTGATGGCAGTAATAGAGTTCCCAGCGCATCCTGAGAGAATATTTAAATTCCTTGTATAGCGAGCGAGCTTACGGAGTGTTCGGCAAATATAAATCATCCAACTGAGCGGGTCTGAGTGGAGATTAGTCGACCTACGGCTTCCTCCCTCTCAGACACACAGTCCACGCAGTGATATTCCTTTAAAAAATGCCAACTACAGGGGACAGAAATACGATGATAGGTGCAGGATTACATCCAAGCCAGAGGTGAATTTTTCGATCGCCATAATTAACCTTTCAGATACTGAACCTTACTACAGATTAAATTGGGTATTCGGGTGGATTAGTAGTTGCCGTTGAAGATGGCAGATAAGATCAGATCTGGGGCCACCTTTTCATTCAACCAACCATCTAAGTCTGTGGCAGCAGAAATACCAGCAGCTGGCGATTCCTTCGCGCTGAGCCATAAAACAGTTCCTTTTTCTGCTTGGATCCTGATACGAACGAGATGCGCCACTTCAGCCCGTTCGTTGCCTGCAGAAAACACGCCAGCCCTATCGCCAAGAAAAGACCAGGGCTACCAGCTATGTTAGCCTAACCTGTTTTAACCTAGATATGCACCGGCACGTGTTCCATCCTCAACCTAGAGAATTCTCCCCAACGGCCGCCATCATCAGGTAGCAGGATGCCACGGAGGGGAAGTGCTTGATGCTGTCATAGCCCATGGTTCTACTTGTGAAGCAAAACACAAAACCCTCATTTCTTGCTAAGGCATGTTGTGCAACGGATCATCTTACATCTCACATCCCAAAAACAACAGGGATGCGTCTAGCCTTGGGACCAGCTACTGCATCTTATCCTGTAAAAGAGAATTCCATTTTCCAACAACACTCCTTCCGCCCGACAGGGAAGCAGAATAAGGATATGCCGGACGAATTCACCTCCCTACATTTCTCTGAAGAGTTCGTCATCGGCTGTGGAACAGTCTCCATCGACCTCGCGAAGGACCTGGTGCTCCTCCTTTACTGTCGCAAAAGGCGGCAATACCATCTCCCCAAGGGCCGCAAAAATGTCGGCGAAAGTCTCGAAGACGCTGCGATCCGCGAGACGTTCGAAGAATCCGGCCACAAATGCCGTATCTTACCCCACAACCTTGTGACCCTTGCACCAGATTACAACGTCTCACACGCCCATAAAGAGCCACTAGCCGTCCAGCAACGCAGGGGTAGTGGTCCACACCGGATTATTTTCTGGTACCTGGCTTCGGCTGATTCCACGGAGCTGCCAGTCGTGGGCACACAGGAGGCATGGGAGGATTTTGAGCTTCACTGGTTGCCTCTTCACGAGGCCGCGGCAAAGCTGGCGCGCGAGGATGATCAGCAGGTCGTCCCAAGGGCCGTTCAAGCTGTCCTTGATCTCAAGAAGAAGAAAGGAAACTTAGAGAATTGACTGACTTTGCGGCGCCTCAGGCTCCAAAGGACAACGCGTTTCTTAAGAGCTCGAGCGTTGAATCTTCCGGCTAGCACTCGTTTCTTCTGCTTGTGCACGCGACTTGCCATTACAAATCGATCAATTACTTCGAAAAATTACGTCCTTTGCTGCTGGTTACCTTTTTTACATCTGCTGCACACGATTTGAATGCATCATCACCGAAGCAGTTGTTCAGCGTCAGCCTTCTAAAGGGAGCCACGTACGTCCAATTAGACAGCCGTTTTACTTAGAGTTCACGCACACAACATTAATCTATATTTTCAATTTTATATCATCCACTTTTGTTTCTCCTGTCGACTTTGCTGCTTATTTTCGGCTCCTCCGTGGACTGTCCTCTTTCCTCGTCTCCGATCCCGTTTTGTAGAATACTCCGGCAGGGCTTCTAAGAAATAAGCTTGGTCAAACACGTAGGAAAGGAAAACCAGGAACGAAACGGAGAGCAAAGGAGAAGGAACAGAGACATATCATAGGTCGTGACATGGTAAACAATAGCCGTACAAGCGGAGTAAAAATCGTAAACTCTCTACCGAGTGATTATTGTCTGAATTAACATCCTTGCAATTTTCAGAGGATTCAACGTTCCACCGTCCGCAACCAGGCTCGGGAATATTGATATAATGCGGGTGAGATTATGCCTGGTTTTTTTTTTTTTTTTTTTTTTTTTTTTTTTTTTTTTTCCTTTTGTGAGAAAGCCGAACGGAACGAAGTTACAGCAGACTAGACTGGCGGGCCTGAAAAGCAACAAAACAAGGCCATCATGTCACACTGACGAAACTACGGATTTACTCGGGCGAACTCCCGCCACGGCGATTCGGACAAATGCCACAGAAGTAAATCGCATAACCCGGGCGGGCCGGGCCTTGCTTTGACGCGAAGACCAAACAAATAATGGCTCTCTCACGCTTTTCTGAGATCTAACTTACGGTGCTGGCGGATTGGTAAATAGAAAGAAAAGCGTTGTGTCTGGCCCTGGAGTGCCTTGGAAGTGCTTTATGTAGCCGAGCTGAACACGGAGGAAGCCCAGAACAACGGGAACTCGTACTGTCAGAAAATAGGTAACTAGTAAGGCTGGAAAAAGGGGTACAATACGTCAGATCCAGGTCATAATAATACGCCGGGTAGCATGTTAAGCATGTCATGTAAAGTATAAGTATTTCAAAATATCTTCCATACCAAACGTTTATCACCACCAGCGTCAAAACTAACCAGGGCTCCAATATCCTAGATGTAACGAGGGTAATATATCATGTAATAGGGCGTTCTCAACAAACCCCACCCGAGAGATCTACCAACTGCTGCAATGCAACCTGGGTGTGAAAAGGAGCAAAGAATAGCCGCCGCTAACTGAGACCAGCCTGGGATATCATGCTTAACGCTTGCCCTACCAAACTGCAACGAATCAGCGTGGTAATTCGGCTCCGCGTTCGTTTACGGTGTTCAGGATCATGAAACCGTGGGGCGAATCGTTCAACTACTTTACAAACGTGTGTGGGGTCAGCGTTGCCTAGGACGATGCGTGCGCGTATCCGATAAAGGTACCATTTAGCGCCGCTTCCTTGAGGGTGTAATTGAAGTCATGTCGCGCGGAATGGAATGAAGTAAGCGGTAAGCGTCCGGAAGCGACCAGCTTTTCGAATAGTCATTTATCCTAAAGCAGAAATTGGATATGATGAGGGCACCGTTTTCGATTAGAGCTTGCTCTCCAAGGGCACATTGTTATACGTTCCGGTTATGCTGTGGGCAGGTTGCGCATGTAAATATGTACTGCGCACGTGGGCAAAGCCCTATGTCTTAACTTATCATGATCCAGCTGGGAAGTTCTGAGGGCCTGAATCCGTAAATAAGAACGTCTCGCTTGGCTTTGACGACCTGGTGGCTTTCATCCTTTGCCCTCGAGAGTTTGCGTTCGTTACCGAGGGACTAGCTGTCATTTATCCATCGTAACAGCAGGGAGGCTGATGAGATTACGGTAAGGTATTTGGTACGCTGTGACGGTTAATGAGATACATATCCTTTCTAGCTCCATGTACCACGATCGACCTCATCCTTGTTCCAATCATCCCCGCCCCTTGCAAAGAAAATCACTCGATTGAGGGAGCCGAGCTGCCATTTAGGGCTTACCCCAGTGCCAACTGAACCATGACAAAGAGCTGGGTAATCCCTTCCAAGAGCAATCGATCATCCCAGTAGTGTAGATGCAGTTACTCAGCATCCAAGAACGGGTAAGGATCCTTCCAGCCCCATGTTCATCCAATAATGATTGACCTTCGAAATAGTTTTCCTAGCCGGAGAGTGAAGCTAGCCCCTTGGTATGACGTTTGCTCGACTCTCCTGAAGAATTGAACTGATTCCGTTCAGTGTCCGGGTGAAGTGCCTTGACGTTGTTACCGTAGCTAGGCCCTGTCCACGCCCATGTCACAGTAGCTTCCTTTTTTACCACTGCTCTTTTAGCGCCGACAGGCGAACGCCAGTCGCTTGAAACTACTAAATACAAAAAAGGGCTGACAGAACCCGGTAGGGGGGATTTTAGCTGACGAAATAGGAAAGGGTCTTTTCAATGCATAACTACGGAGTAGTTCGTAAACAAAGCTGCGCGTTTGCTCGTATTCTGCACTGTCGTGAACGTGGCTTCACCTGTTTCGCGCTTCAATGGAGGGGATGAAACCGCGGATCCGGTTACTGCAGAGCACGTGCTGGCTAATTATTTCATAAATCCGTTTTCGGGGCTGAAGGGAACAAGGAGGGATTCTTCAGACGTTCACGATTACGTCTCGCGATCTCCATGTTGCGCATACGGTCAATACGCATCCGGTAGAAATTCCTTCAAACCTGTTAGTGATTTCGAACATGGTGTGAAAAGGGGGAAGAGGGGGAAAATGGTGACGAAGGGCCAGAATGAAAAAGCTGGACGCATACTTGTGGAGAGAGAAAATGCGGGGTCCATCGTCTGTGCGTGTCTCTGTTCCGCTATTCTGGATAGATTTAATCTGCACCGCTCAGTAAACGTCTTCGTATTATTCTCGGGGAGAAAATATACGGAGTTCCCCCATAGCGCAACCAACAAGGCAGAAAAGTCCAGGCCGCCATGGGCTCACCTTCTCATCCTTCTCCTTTTCCGCCTTCTCATCTTCTCCATCCGCTTCGTCCTTCTTCTTGTCCTTCTTATCACCGCCATCCTTCTTGTCCTTACTCTTTGGCTTCTTCCGTTTCATTTTTTCCTCGTACTCTTGCTTCACTTTCTCAATCTCCTTGTCCATTTCCTCTTTCCTCTTCTTCGCTGCAACCTCCTCCTCGTCTATAATGGGCGAACAAAACCCACGGTCCTTCAAATGGATAGGGCAGACGTAGAAGTAATCCTAAAACACAGCGCCAACAGCGATAGCGAGAGGAGGTCGGAATTTTAGCACAGCCAGACTCGTCCATCAATACATTATCATTGCTGGTTGCAATGCTCACCTGTTTATCCGGAGTAACCAATACGCTAGAGGATGGTTTATAGCATATATCGCATGATTGTGCTGCTGTTTCGGCCACCTTGCGATGGTGCCAAACGTTAGGGAGCGTCATACCCGGTGCTCTGCTAAAAGTAAACTAATGAATAAGATATGTCGCATCGAGTGAGTTTAGCACAGTGATAATAATTACTCCATATAAGAGATGTTCTCTGATGCATAGCTGCTGTCCGTTTGTTTTGTAGGTGTGATGGTCGAGTTGTTGAATGTGGAGATACCAGAGCTTTTACCCGCCAAGCCATGTGACCCCCGGAAACTAGCCGATAACGTACGTTACAGAGAGCTCGAGCAAGGAAGTTCACAGCCCCGTCTAAAGCGGGATGCCAGGTAGCATTACCTGGTACTCGGTATCTACAATTGGACTTTGCAAATTGAGATCTCAGGGATATTTTTAATAATAAATAAAACTAAATGGTCTCTCTCCTTCCCGTCGAAGGGCCCAAATATATGTAGCTATATATATATATTTAGTGTATCTATAGAGATTGCAAACTATCTGTAGATGGAAACAGGGTTTCAAAAAAATAAATAAAATAAAAGAGAGAGAGAGAGAGTATAAAATGAACATATCAAAAGAACATGTATCAAAAAATATCAACACAAAAATAGTCTTATCCAGATAGAGAAGAAGAACAAGCCAAAATATATTAAAGTATCTCAACAATCCTAGCTCACGCTATCAACCCCTCCTGAATTCCATCAAACGAGTCTTTCTCCATAATCCCCGACAGCAGACTCTTATTCGTATTCTGCGCCCGCCTCTTCGCATCAACCCAAATCATAAAGTCGTTATACGACTGCGGCATGACCTGCACGTCCTTCTCGACCAGGAACGTGTAATGGAACACGCCAGTTGGTTTCTTCGTCGTGTGCTCGGCATCGCGCACCTTTGAGTCAATGCGAACTTGGACTTTTGTGAATTTGCTGCCCCGGCTGCTGCTGTTATTGTCATTGGGACCCGCGTCAGCGTTCGTGGCGGTGATTTGGGACTCGGTGTACGAAACAGTCGCTTTAAGATACAAGACGGAGCCGACGGGGACGGGATTGTCGAAGGTGCTGGGGTCGAGGGACAGGAAAGTTGGTCTTGAGTTAGAAAATGAGGCGGCACAGCAGAAGGCGAGTTCGAATGTTTGCTTCAGCAGGTAGCCGCCGAAGATCATGAAGTTGTGCCTGTTGCGGTACTGCGGTTGCATGATCTGGGCTGATTTGAGGATTGAATCTTTCATGTGCATGAGATTTTTAGGGCGGGTGAGAGGATTTTGCGGGTCTGTTGGTATCAGGAGTTAGAGATTTGTTTAAACTAGTGACCTCGTACATGACATGTATCTGTTTTTTGCTCTCCTTTCGTTATTTATCTTGAGAAATTTCCCCTCTTTCGCCCTAGAAGTAATTGCCTGAGATGTGAAAACCTACTTAGATACGCCATCTCCTTTGTCCACATAGCATGAATAAGATCACTCTCCTCATCGTTCGGTGTTTGCTGAAGTAAACTCCTCGTCCTCAGCTGTTTTTTCGCTTTGTAATTTTTCTCCCCAAGCTCGAAAAGCCTCCTTTCTTCCTCCGTCTCCACAAGGAGTGGTGCAACAGCTACCGGCCTTTATACCATATGAAAGCGAGAATGAGAGTAAGTCAGCCCCTGAAATATGAAAATTTTTTAGAACAAAAAATGAAAATAAAATGATACGAGCGTTTTTCCCACACGCGGGCAAAACAATACATACTCGAACGCAAAGCGCAAACATACGCTTGTGGAGGTACAAAGCATAGAGTGAGTGAGTGAGGGTAGAACCAGAAACAAGCTTCCCTCCCAATCCAAAAAAATAAAAAAACTTCAAAAAAGGCAGAAAGAAAAAAGAAAAAATCACCAACCTCTTCGTCGCCGGATCCAACGAAACCATCGTAAACGCACACGTAATAAGCACATCCTCCTTCTTAACCGCCTGGCTTGGCACAGCCGGCGCCTTCGCAACCCGCAGCGAAATCTCCATACTTGAGCGGCCCGTGGCGTATGTGACTTGTCCACTGAGCTCCAGATCGCAAATCTCTTTGAGTGGGCGCTCGATGGTGATGCGGTCCACGGCGGCGGTGACAGTCATGACTGCGTCGCCAGTGTGGCCGTATGCGACGACGCCGGCGAGAGCGTCTAGGTCCATGAGCAGGGCGCCCAGGCTGGGCGGGTGTTAGGTTCGTTAGAGGTGGTGCTTTGGAGGTTTGTAAGATGGACTAGGATACTTTCCCCTTTTTTTCATTGGGAAAGGACGATGAGAAAGAAGAGGGGGCTTACCGGATATGCCCTGAGGAATTTAGATATGTATCTAACAGCCATGGGTCCTGGGCGAGAGGTAGCACCTAAGCAGAAATAAATTAAAATAAGTAATAAAAATAAATAAATAAACAATTCCTCAATCCCAATCCCGTATCCAAAACTAGACCGAACCGAAGCAAAAAGACATATCAAAATAAACAGAGAAAACCACTCACAGTCCGATAAAAACTATCCCCCATCTTCCTCGGCTTCAAATCCACTTTGGGCGACACACTCCCACTCCCACTTCCACCCTTCCCCGCCCCCTCCCTCTCCAACTTCAACGCCTCAATCCACGGCATCTTCACGCGCCGCTCAGTCCACACTGGACGGAACGTGCAATTAGCAGCCGTCTGATGCAGCCGTCGCTTCTGTGCCATAGTGAAGCATGACGAGGTCGTTGTCGTTGCTGTTGTTGTCGTTTTTGTTGCCGCTAGGGGTGTTATGGAAGTAGCAGCTGGCTTTCCAGGCACCCCCTGCAGTGATAATTGGGAGAGGGGATGTGTGCATTTTTGATGTAACCGGAATTTGGAACTGGGAGTGGTTGTGTGTGCGCAGTCGTAAGAGGCAGAGGCGGCTGTGCGCTGTGGTGGTATTTGATAACATGGTTCAAAGGACGTTGTCACCCGGTGCTACTGCGCGGCGCGGCGCCTGGAACGAATGAATGAAATAGGATTGACCCTCGAGTTATTTACCGGTTATGAGCTATACTCATATACGGATACGGAGGTCGTGCACGAACATCCAATTAAACAAAGCGAATACGCTACACTGCAAACCGATGAAGATAGAAGCTTGCTTCAAGGTTGGTTTGTCTGGGCCGGGGAAGGGAGAGAATGACATAACATGAGTGGAACCTGCATGCCAAGAAACAACCAACATTGGGTCGCGCTAGGCGCGCTTAATCCCTTAACCATCTTTTTGGAGACCATGGATCAGGCTGAGAGCCAACCAACCATATGGTGTTTTACAGTTCTAACATTAGGGAATGGTTGAGATAGTCAATTCCAGGTCTAACACACATATACTCTATATATCTAAAGAGATGATAATTCTTTTACAATGCAATACAATCGCGGACGGAGTACTTAACGCATTCATCGTTCGAACAATGGAACCATTTAGGTTCAAATCGTAATATGCCACGCCGCAATACACGCCTGCCTACGCCTCCGAGACTGCAGATAAAAATAGAAATGAGGACTGTATCCTTTGTTTGAAAAATATGTTCTCTTTCCTTCCTTCTGTATTTTCATTTTCTCCTTTTCTCCTTTTTCCCTTTTTTTCTCTGTTTCTTTTCAGATGGTGGTAGATAAATGAACCGCAAGAATCCTTCCATATAGCTAATATAATATAATATGTCCATGTATGTAAATCTATGTAAATCTATGTACAGGAAAAAATTTGAAACATGTGAACTGATAATGAGCTGGTCCGAGAAGATATAGTGACACAGAGTGTGCATATGCATGATAGAGAGTGCGTGTAGGTCTATTGCCATCCAAGTCTCCATATCTGAAATAAAACATGGACTACAAACGGGGCGATAGATAATTTGCCTCTAGACACCAGAAATTAAAAAAATGCAGACGAATTTAATAGCTCCGTAGTGCGCGCTGAACGGTGGAAGACGGGGTGAGGTATGTAACAGAAAGCAGGGGCTAATTGCGGATTACCCCAACTGGTATAGTATATCTCGGTTCGAAAACGAGTTGTGGGAGAGGGAGTGGCTGGTTTCACTCCTTCCCCTCTTCCTTCTGCTTCCCCCTTCTCATCACGGTATTCCCATCGGGAGCAAGAAAGAAAACAATACAAAAGAAAAGATGATAGAAACAAGGAGGCAGAGTGATGCTTTTATTATCGGAAATTAAAAAAAAAATAAATAATAAATAAAAATAAAAAATAAAAAAAAATAAAAAATAAAAAAAAGACGGTATTTCACCAAGGAGACAAAGTTGACGATAACAAAACAAGCGTCCATAGCAATGGAGCAGTGGACGAAATACTTAAGCCTTTCACTCCATCTGATGAATCAGGGTTTTTCTGAGAGGATTCGGCGGGTTTCGGTCCTCCGCTGTTAACCTCGCTGGGAGGTCCGACGGGGGAGACGCGCGGGGATCCTGAAGCTGTGGGTGGCTCTGTAGGTAAAAAACAACATTTGTTATTATATAAGAAACATGTGTACTAGATAGCGGGGCGAAGTAGAAACACGTACTTTGGTTAGGGGAGGAAGGATCGGAAGAACCTTCGTTATCCGCCCGCATCGCAAACCCAATCCGATTCTCGTCAAAGTCAAAAACAGTATACACATTCATAAGAAACGTGCAGTCCTACAACCCACTCATTATCCCCGAATGGTTGGTGGCCTACGATCCTCGAGCGGCACATGCCGTTTTCGAGTGTTTCGCCAACGTAATCTTTGGGGGACATAAGATACTTCACGCCGGATACGACCAGCTCGATCTTCGTCTTTGTCGAGCAAGGGAGGTCCCAATATGTGTCCCACTCGGGGTTTTCACGGCGGTGCCGATTGCATCGTGGAGGCGTTTCGCGTCTTCGTAGGGGATAAGGATGTAGGAGGTGCCTGTGTCGAAGATGCCGTTCTTGCCTTGGAAGTTCAACGGCTTGCCGTCGACAAAGATATCATCCACCGGAACTTCCCAGTGCCCTACGTTGGGCACAGTTTTGGTGTATGAGATATCGCCGACAAATTTAGACTTGTCGACGTCGCCGAAAACAATCTGGCCATCCCGTGCCCCATCGCCGTGCCGTTGAAGATTGATACCGATGATGTTTTTCTTCAGCAATCCACCCATCTTTAGTTCCTCCATTACCGTCGGCGCCTTGACTTTATAAGCAGGTCCCCGGCCTAGGCCTAGAATCCCGTCCATGGGATAATTCATGAATTCCCTGGACATATCCAACACGGACCCAAAGCTCACATTTGGTAGATCGAATCCAGCAAAGGCGATAGAATCATTGACTAGAAACCCTGATACTTTCCCCGTCCCATATGTAACGTCGAAGGGGATATCTGAGATCGAAAGGGACTTGGAGTCCTCGGTACCAAAGGTGTTATGAATCTTACAGGGTTCAAGGGTGCAATTGGAGCTGATCAGCCAGGTGTTAGCTGCCCCAGTGTCCATCAGCATCCACATGGGCTGTCGTTCGGAACCGAAGTACATTATCGAGAAATAGGAATAGTCATATCCGTCACTACTGATAGCTAGACTATTCGGCATAAGGGTGGGATCCGCATGGTAAACCTTGAAAATATTTTGGCGACGAACCTAATTGTTACCAGCACCAATTCATAGTTAATACCAATATCTCTCTAGACAGAAAAAGAAAATAAAAATCAAATGAAGCTAAAATGGTGAAGAAGAATACTAACATTTCCGCGAACCTTGATAATATCCAGCTTGACAGGTTCTTTGACATCTCTTAGCGGAAGAGGAAGAAGAGACCCCTCGCTCTTGCTCCTACTTGGACTGTACGAGTAGAACCGCTCTCTCAGGCCTTTTAGGTCTAGCTTGGGTAGATCGGCGAGAAACAACAACCCATTGCTCTTAGCATTGGCATTGGGAACTGGGTTGTACGGGAAGAAGGCAGAGACGACATCTGTCCACGCCAGCAGCAATAGTGGCAGCGACAGAAGCCATGGCGAGCACGGAAAAAGCATGATCCTTAAAAAAGGATCTGGAGCGGAGGGCTGGCCAAGGTTTGCATTTGCTCAAATGCAAATGGCAAATCCCAGTGTCGATTCGAGTCGAGTCAAGACAGTCGAGTCGAGTCGAGTTGAGGGGAGACAAGTTGAATCAAATGCCCTCGTAGTAGAGAGAGGGGGGGGGTTTGGTTTTTATATCATGAAACGCAAGTCCGAATAGAAGTGGATATTGGACTAACTAGCCTGTAG